ATCAACCGTTATTTTCAGGACAAAACAATGCAAAATGCATTCTTAGATTTGATCAAAACATCCATGTACCTCATTAATGATGACGTAGATTGTCTGCAGGTAGTGGAGGCAGTCCCATGTGCCATCTATCCCATCGCCCCATCATAATCTGTGATGAATGGCACTTTTGGAACTAAGAGGATATCTGAAGTTCTTCCACGACGAAGATTAAGGGAAATTTAATGATATCCGGAGGTTTATTAATATAGTTATGGAGATACATAATTATCAGTCCTTAAATCACATGAAACGACCAAGTGTGGCTAAGTTTACATAAACTTAAGCTGTCTGGGAAACCGCACTAGTACTTATCGTGGAAAAAAGAATCAAGTCCGACAAGCAATTTTGGAGGAGAAAGCCTACAGGAATATATACAATTTTTGCAAGCAAGTAAAGATCAGGAAAAGGAAAGACAAAGTAGAAGAATAACAAAAGTTTTACATTCTTAAATAAAAATATCTTAACGAACCTTCAAGTCAATCAGGCGGCTGTGGTGTTTTATTCTGCCAAATTGATATAATAAATAGTTGAGATCTAAATGACTTGGGTCAGTCTCAACAAGGAATCGGTTTGGGCGTTTAAGGGGAAATGAAGGAAAAAAATTTGTTTTTGGTCCATATTTGTCTAGTCTGACCCTAACAGAGAAATCCTAATACAAATGATTCGAAGGAGGGCTAAAGGCAATATTTGATGAAGCGAATAACTTATGAAAAAATAGATAAGTTCTTTCTCTAGACTTCGGAAAGGTCAGATGAGTTGAAGTTGCCTGTTTGATCTTTATTGCTGCATAAATTGCGAGAGTCCCCTAAGCAAGGCAAAGTTACTGACACGCTCTGGCTGACACAAGAGTCCCGAATTAGTTGCATGTCATCCACTTTTTCGTCATCTCTTGCTGGATCTATTTTTGTAAGGGCAAACATTTTGACAGGATAAAGACTCGTTGGAAATCCAGACTGATCAGCCTCACCAACCAAAACCAAGCATTTAGTAGCGGCCACCAAGGCTAGAATAGCTTCGCGCGATCGAGTGTAGCTGCCATCTTGGGAGTCGAACTGGAGGCTGCCGTCAGTAGTCACATTCTCTTTGATGACAATCACACCCGACTGACTGAGACCTCGTGCGGCCCGCTGCAGAAAGTTTATTAGTGCCAGATCAGTTAGCTGACAAGAAACCCACTGGATCCAAATTAAATCATATCTGCCAAGTGGGGGGGTGAACTCCTGACAAAAAATAGAAGGCAAAATTATGGAACCATTGAAGAGACGCGTAACGTATAAAAAGTGATATATGGAGAGTCGTCTTATAGGCGCATCAATATAGCTTTGAGAGTACAAATGAAACTTACAAGAAAACATGAAATCTTAAAAGTAGGAAGGTTGATTAAAAAGCTGTAAAGTTAATCTCAATCTTTATTTATATTTACATGATAAGATTTCCATATGAAATACAACAAAGAAATGAGAAAATTAAGCTTTTATGCCAGCCATATAATAAGGGTATTCTTGCCCTTCAATAATATGATGGAAGAGTTAGCTAGTTGCTTTCCTCTGGACATAGTTGGCAGCTATTTTATGTCAAGTATATAAGAAATTATTTTGCTCTGAAATTAAGAAGAAAGTTTGTCTTTTTAGAAAAGCATAAACCAAAATGACTTGGGTAGCATTTATGCGTTATTCGCCAAAAAGAATGCTCAAAGTATTTACAGAGAATTGAACAATGCTGAATGAGTTATTATTCTTATAGCTAAAATAAACCTTTTAGGATAAATGTATTATATTTTCTAATCATTTGTATGGTAATGCATTTGAAAATTTTTAGTGACTCAGTGAACATTTATAAAATCATCGAATGGAATTCACGCCATTTGGGCTGCTCACGACTTGGCAATCTGGAATTTCGCAAGCCCTGGCCATTTCTTATCATTACTTCCTGATAGTAACAACGTAAAAAGCATGTCTATATATTAATACACCACGATTCTTCCTCCCTCTTAGCTAAGTGGGGTCCCTAAAATAGTGATTTCTATGCCAAAGCATGCCTAAAACGTTAAGTTATTTTAAAAAATGAGTAAAAGTGTAATTCCCACGGGACAGAATGTTTTGCTTAAATTACTTAGAAGACTTAGCTGCCAACAATTGGCTTAGAAAATGCATATTATTGGAATTATCAAGTATTAGAGACTAATTTAATTTAAACATTTCTTACTTGTAGGCCGACACAGAAACACTCTCCAATGCGAGCGTAGTTAGTAGATCCTATAAACTCAGCAGCCTTGTCAAGAAATGATTTAGTCATTTCTACCAGGTCGACTCGAGCAAACCGTCGTAGCAAAAGATGCTTGGCAACGCGACCGATCCCGGCGCCGCAATCGAGTGCATATGCATGTGTTGGGGGCCCAAAAAGGTCCAAGAAGTTTAGCGACTCACATACATCTACATAGTCAACCTGGGTGTAGCCACCGAGCATAGAATTAAGATTGGGTGGCAAAGATGACCAATAGTCACGTGCCGTCTGGTATAAGTTTGGTGGTACGATAGAACTAAATATTAAGATCAAGCAATAACAATTAAAGGTAAATAAATTAATATAAATAAGATAAAAAATAAACGATGTATTATGACATATGAAGACAGGGATGATCTATATATAGCTTTATAATTGATCATAGCCTCATTTTGAAGAACGTACTCCGCACCGAGTGCTATGAGAATAAAACAATTTATTCCAACTGGATACATGAGACGCTTCTCTAGGAGTTTCAATAAGAAGGCTAAAATGGGCAGTCTACCTTAAAGAGTTATATGAGTATACCTTTTCGAAGGCAAGTTGAACTCTCATTAGGAGATTTTCATAGCATCGTGTGAAAATTTAAATATTAATCATTCATTACTTTATATTATCTAGGGTTGTGACCTTATGCTTAGTACGTTCATTTCCACAGATTCTGACTTCGGTCCGATTTTGTAGGAAATTATGTGAACACCGCAAGGAAGTCAGTTTGCATTACGTTATATAAAATGAGTAAGTTGTGAAAACTAGGCCAAAATACTTTTAAATACGATTAGTATTTACATAAGAGCCAGTCAAGATTAAGCGCTTGAATGAAAGAATATGAATGAAACTATAGTACATAACATATTTGGCAAGTGGGCAATATTTTTAGATAACCCAAAAACGAGATGGAACATAAAAAAGAAATCCAAATTAAATAATGAAAAAAAAAATCATTGAAAGCCCCGCCTGTTGATCAGG